GCATCGGGCAGGTGGTTTGGGCCTTTGGCGGGCGGGTTGGGTCGCAGGGGCACTGGGCCTCAGCAACCTGGCTGCGTGGCGGGTTGGGCCTTGGAGGCCCTGGACCTCGGCTGCGGCAGGTATGTGATTTAGGCCTTGGTTGGGTCTTTGTCACCAGTCTGTGGGCCTGTTGGGCCTCAGGGCAGGCCTTGGCTTCAGCGGGCAGGCTTGTGTCTTGGGCATTCCTGAGCCTTGGTGGCTTGGCAGAGGGCTGGTCTAGGCTGGGGCTGTAGAGAGGGCTGGGATAATGGCTGGAGAGAGGCAGTGGCCGTATTTGATGATGTAAAGAATGCCTCTCTCAGTCTCTCTGCACCGTGGGTACCCCAATTTTTCTGATATCTGCGCCGATATCCCTCTCTATTTGTTTAGCTTTGTTATCCTTTTCTCTGGAAATGCAGCCTCCTAAGTGAGGCTGCTCTAGCCCTGCATTCCAGTGTCTGCCAGGGGCAGAGGCACTTGCCGGCGCGGAAGCGGGAGCCACGTGCAGGCAGGCAAAAGCTTAAAATGCCTGTACTTCGTCAGCAATTTGATCTTTTAAAAAAACGAGTTCAGACTGTTGAAATATAAGATCTTATGTTTGTTCAAAGGCTGTCTGTCTGCTAGACAGAGGTTGTGTATGTGCAATTCTGCCCCTTTTCCCCAGAGAGTTCCCTACCTGGTTTGCCTGGTCAGGGAAGCGCCGCATCACCTCTCTCCTTTGCACTGCGTCACCTCTCTCCTTTAGCGTGTTTTTAACAGGTGGTGTCTTTACACACTGTTTTTGTATATAGTAGCTGATATTGGCTCTTGCCTTTTAGGTTGAAGTTTTTTTTCAGGGTGCAAATGTGGCTTAGCTGTATGGCCAGAGCTACTGTCCCTTGTTAGGTGAGCAAGGAATAAAAAATCTCGCCCAAGTAAGATAGCCAACTTCAGGGCTAAATCCCAATGTCAGACATCCTGTGGAGCCGACTGGGACTTTCAGCTACTTCCTCTTTGTGCCATGGGAAAATCCTTCCTTTGCGCAACTCAGGATGAAAGTGTCAGTTGTGCCCTGTGGGCATAATGCTGGACCCTTTTGGGGTGTGCTCCCACCCACATGAAGACACCTGGACTAGGCAGAGAGTGTATGACAGCGAACAACGCAAGAACAAAAGAAAAACAAAAAAAACCTTCACCTTTCTTTTTCCGTAAGTCACTGGGTCGTTTTCATGTTGTAGCAGGTTCGTTGTGTTGAATACCTTTTCAAAAAAGGAAAGGAAAGTTCACTGTCAGTTTCTATTTCTTTGAAACCTAGATTGTAGTATTTAATGGTTCAACACCATCAGGAAATGTGGTAGATGCTTCCCTTACAATTTAAATCTGTCTTCAGTTGCTGTTTCTTCCACTGTTAGTTCAAACTTTCAGGTCTCTAGTGGGTCCCTGGTGCTTTTGCTCTGGTGTTGGTCCAAACTATTTTTTTGTTTTGGTTTGGTTTTATTTGGGGTTTTTTTGTTGATGGTTTTCCCAAACTATTCTGTTTGAATAGACATGAAGTCTTCTGTCCTTGGGGCCTATGAACCAGTGAAAGGAGGTGGTGAGGGGAGTTGTCCTGGGCAACTTAGGGATGCCACTTTAGCTGGACCAAAGCATCTTGCCCACACTCTTAATGGCTCTTCTCTGCTTCACAGTCAGGACCTTTGACAGGCTTATTCTCTCCACCCAGATAAGGACCCAGGCAGTAAGCACCTACCTGGTTTGCCCAGGCCTGGGGCCTCATAACCATCCTGGCCTCCTCCTTCAACCTCCAAAGAAAGAAAATGAAGGTCCACAGTCCTGGGAACCATTGAACTAATCCTTTCCACTCTCTGGTCTCAGGTTTCTCTCTCTACAATGAAGGGTCTCCCTATCCTCTCCTAACATTTCAAGCTTTAATTCTACGTGAGTCACAAGAAAGGAGCCCTGGTACAATAGAAAGACCAGGCTTGTAGAGTCAAACACACCTTGATACAGAACGGAGACACATTAGTTAACTGCTGATCCAACATTTTTTCAAATGAGACTAACATTCACTATGTTTATTCAGGCCCTTCGAGAAATAAGATGCCAAGGTAAGATTTGGAAAGCAACTTACTATGGGAAATACCTGTGAAAAGGAGGAAGAAAGAATCTTGAACTAAAGTGCACTTTTAAGAAAGTTTCTGCCAGGCTAGTAGATGACCTCAAGCCATTAGAGGAATCCTGTGTCCCACAAAAATGGGCCTGCACTGAGATCAGGCAGGGAAATATGGTCTTTGTACAAGCACGGCAGTGGATCCAGGGAAGGGGGGCGCAGCTGAGGCTATCAGTCAGCTGTGCTCCCTGCAATGGAAGAGCTGCATGGGCCATAACACCTACCTCGAAGATTTGTGGTAGAAGTCTGATAGTGCATAGAAGCTCCTACCATGATGGCTGCCCTGGGGAAGGTGCTCACAATGTGGCAGTGAGAACGCCATGATGATCACCCCATTGCCATGACTTGCAGTGTGTTCCCAACCAGGCCAGAGAGAGGCTTATATTGTGTCCTGGGAACTATGCAAAGTGTTACTAAATGCCCCTGGCGGCAGGTATTTTGTATCTGTAGCTATATTTTATGTGTCATAATAGGATATAAGCGTGGTAATTAAAGAGTCCCTTTGTCCCAAACATCTGACACCATCCCCTTCTTGCCCCCAGGCTCTACCTGAGAAAAGAACATTTCCCAAAAGTTTACCCTAACCCATTCTTTGACTTTTGCTTTACCAGCCGGAATCAGCTTCATTCTTTCGGCCATAATTTTCTCACCTGTAAAATAAGGAGATAGCCTAAATTAGTGGACTGCAGCTCCCCTTATCAACCCCATTTCTTCAGTCATTTATAGAAAGGGCTCCTTATAAGGAAAGGAGGGAAAGTGAAAGGAGACTCATATAATTTCTTTTAAATGTATACACCAGCTGATCTTTCAAATCCCTGTTAGCTTAGATATTCAGAGATCTCTGTTTTCAAAGCTTTCCCTTTTATTAGAGCAACTGGAAGAATGAAAAGCAAATTAGAACATTTTTTGATCAAAGCAGATCAGATGAAATGAAAACTTATCCCATCTCTGGATCTTGTTCAAAGACGAGTTTTGGTTGAGATGGCAGGATGGCAAGGAGCTGGGGCATGAGGGCTCAGCCCTGCATGGGTGGCAGTTTCAGCTGCCCCGCACTGGAGAATGCTGCTGACCCAAGTTCTCAAACTACTGTCCCCTGGTGACTGTTTGAACCCTGGTGTTGGTCTCTGGATGACTTAGCCTGGGTCTTCTACCTCTGGCCCAGATTTTCAGTCACCCCAAGAAGACTTCTGTCACTCATTGCATTGTGTAAGCCGAGACAGGCCACCCACCTCTCTGACCTCAGAAACCATCCCTGTCTGAAGGCACAGGTCACTCTGTTCAAACCTAGGTCTGCAACAAAATGCAAACATCTTCCTTCCTCCTTGGGGCTGAGCGAGTCTCAGAAACTGAACTGACCAGGTTGCAGAGTGGTCAGTCAAGTTGTTTAGAGCCATGAGTGGGCACATCTGAGCTTTCGCTTCATCCTTTGGCTTATCTTTGTGAGGCACTTAATAGCACGGACCTTTGGAGTTGTTCTCTCTGGGTTTGTTCTTGGACAAGTTACCTCACCCCTCGGAACCTAAGTCTTCCTACCTATAACATGGAGACCGTAATAGTGGGTTTGATGGAGCATTAAATGAATTCGTGTTCTAAAGGCTTGGAACAGTGCCTGGTACATAAGTGCTATCAGGCTGTTAATGACTATTCTTGTTATCTTGGGGTGCTGGTGGGAAAGAGGAGAAGATGGTGACCAGAGAAGTTGTTTGCTCAGGGTCCAAGGCTTCTGCACATTGATCCTCCTCCATGAGCCTTTGCCATGACCAGGAAAGTAAAGGGCTTCTTGTGTAATATTCACTGCCCTTTCTGTCTGCCTTACTCTAAACTCTCAGAACACTTCCCATCAATCTAGTGGTATAACTCACAGAACCTGTGTCTTTGCTCTTCAGCCAAGGGCTGAGGCACTCATCCACCCCACACTGAATGAGCAGCAAGGCCTTACCTTAGAGCAAACTCAAGGGTCCGCACTGCAGTGCCACCAGAAAACCTAAACCTATTCAGAGCAACCCTATAGGACAGAGTAGAACTGCTCCTAGGATTTCCAAGACTAAATCGTTACGGGAACAACCTCATCTTTCTCCCGTAGAGTGACTGATGGATTTAAACTGCCGCCCTTGTGGTTAGCAGCCCAGTGCCTACCCCACAATACCACCAGGGCTCCTTCAACTTGCCCCAAATCACATCCAACCCCCCAGTCCTATTGATGCAGCCTGTAAACACCACTGTGGCAACATCTCCTACCTCATCGCCCATGCTTTCTCCACTCCTGCCATGCCAACCTTTTCTCATTTCTTCACACACCTTGTACCCCCACCTCAGACCCTTTGTACATGCTGTTCCCTCTGTCTGAAACACATTGCCCTGTTCTTCACATGTCTGGCTCCTTCCCCACAATTCTAATCTCAGCTTCAAAGCCACCTCTACTAATTAGAACTTAATATGACTCTAAAAAAGTCTGTCCCCCAAGTCCCTACCGTGGCTTTCACACATTGTCCTGTTTTGTCTTGGAGCACTCTCAGTGTACCTTGATAATTCATTTAATTCATTACTTGTATGTTATCTGACTCCCTCTGCACTCCACACACACAACTAGATTGGAAGCTCATGAAAACAAGAGGCCTTGTGTCCATTATTCAACGCTATCTCCTCAACACCTGTAATAATTTCTGGCACAAAGTAGGCACTCGACATATGAGATACTGGATAAAGAATGAATGAATGAGGTAAGTGGCTAAATGTACAAGCACCGCATTCCCAACTGGGAGACTTACATTTGTCACCTGCCAATGCTGGCTCCATCCTTGTCGCCTCTCTCTGACCTGGACTCTCTCCACAGCGGTCTTGCTGACAGTATGCTGCATGCGGAGGAAGAAGAAGACCGCCAACCCGGAGAACAACCTGAGCTACTGGAACAACGCCATCACCATGGACTACTTCAGCAAACATGCTGTGGAATTACCAAGGGAGATCCAGTCCCTTGAAACCTCTGAGGTAATGAGCCCAAGGGGTCCCGCACAAGTGCTGGCCTACTACAGCGTCAGCTGGGGGACACAGGGGCTCAAAGGAGATCCAGGGAGCAACTGTGCTTTTCTTAGGCCTTGCTACTCAGCTGTGCTCTGTGAACCTGAAGGTTGCAGGTCCCACCCTAGCCCTGATGACTCCTAAGTGACCAGGATCTGCATTTTAGCAAGAGCCCCTCGCTGGTTAAAAGTTGGGAGGCAGTGTTCCTGAGGGGTTGGCTCTGTGAAAGCAAGTCAACACATATTCATTGAGGACCTATTTTGAGGCAGTTACCATCTGGTGGCCATGAAACTGAAAGCTTCAAGGAGCTCAGATTCCAAGATACATAGAGGATTGGCCCCCAAGCATCCTTCAAAAACAGGAACAAACTGGGTGAGATATTGGAACTGGAGGGGGAGTTCATTCTGATTGGGCTAACCAGTGAAGTCTTTATAGTGGAGGTGCTAGGAAGAATAAATGCCACTTAGCATGCAGGGTAGGCAAGGCACTCTAGATGAAAGCTGAATGAAGGTATGCAGTGTGCGGGCGTGGGGCAGGGTGTACTATAAGGATATCATGTTTGGTATGGTGGAGGGTCAGAGAAAAAGAGGAAGATGACCAGAGAGATGGATTGGCAAAGTGGCAGCATCAGTGGGCTCAAGTGTGGCAACAGTAGTGAGGTTGGCCCAGGGCCGGGCAGTGTTTCATTCTGTTGTGCATAGGGTCGCTATGAGTCAGTACCAACTCAGTGGCAGCTACAACAATTTTATTATAACAAAAGGATGCAAATAAGCAACCAAAGGAGAGGCATACAGGCTGAGACATGGGAGTGTCCCAAACGAGAAGCTTCCATTGTCCTCGTTTTGGACCCTACACTCCCGTCACACTGACATATGACAGATAGTGTCCAGAATTTTTACATAGATATGACTGATTGGCCATGTGACTGAAATCAAACCCAGCCCCTCCCCGCATCCCTGAAAGTCAGACTGCTATCATGTGGCTCAGAGCTCCAACTCTTCTCACCGGGTTAGCTTAATTAGCATGGCCAATCTCCATCCTGAGTCGTCTTATTAGCATCACCTATCAAGGTGGTGGTGTGGTGCTGTGGGTTAATGCACTAGACTGCAAAGCCATTTGAACTGCAAGATCAGCAGTACAAGCTCACCAGCTGCTCCTCGGAAACCCTAGACAGGGTCACTATGGGTCGGAACTGACTCGATAGCACTTAACAACAACAACATCAAGGTGGTGGTGGTGGTATTCTATCCAACTCATAGTGACCCCATACAGGGTTTCCAAGGAGCAGCTACAAATCTTTACAGGGGCAGAAAGCCTATTCTTTCTCCCGCCTAGTGTCTTGTGGATCTGAACTGCTGACCTTGCAGTGAGAAGCCTTATGCATAACCCACTTCACCACCAGGGCTCCTTAACTGTCAAGGGACTCACAGTAAATAATATATTCCAGTAACTCAGGAAATTCAAGGCTACCTCCCAAGAACCAGGGACCAATGCCAACCAAATTCTGTATTATACACCTCCCTTCCTTAAAGTCTCTGTTCACCTGTTGTCTCCCCCTGGAGGCAGCTCTTCCTGGCTGCTCTTTAGAAATGACTGTGTTTCCCACTCCTGATGTTACTTATCCCTTTCTGTGAGCATTCGTCTCACAATCTAATACCGCATTATTTGCTCTCTGTTGACTGGTTTGTGTTTCTCCCTGCTAAAATGTAAACTGCTGGCAGGCAGGAACTTCATTTGTTCTATTCACTGCACTATCCTTAGCACGTAGATCTATTCTTCATGCATGGTGGTGGTGGTATTAAGTGCCGTCAAGTTGGTTCTGACTCCTAGTGACTCTGTATAGGGTTTTTGAGAAGCGGCTGGTAAATTTGAGCCGCCGACCTTACAGTCCAGTGCATTAACCCACAGCACCACACCAGGAATCCTCATGCATGGTATGTACTTGGTAAATCATGTTTCCAGTACTTACCTTAACATTCAGTTCTTGCTGTTGACATTGAGTCAGTTCCAACTCATAGCCAGCCTGCATAGGGTTTCCAAGGAATGGCTAGTAGGTTTGAGGTGCCAGCCTTTCAAGGTGGGCCACTGTTTATCCTACAGAGCCACACCAGATGTTTAATAATGTTTTTGACCTAAGGACAAACAGGTTTCATGAAGACCTGAAGCTTTAGTGTGGCCATTGCACTTCTTGAATGGCAAAAAAGTGTTCCTGCTGATCTTCCAGTTGGGGCTACAGCCACCTAGAACCAGGTAGGGTATGCTCCAGGGAGAAGGGAGGGGTATCTCGCGAAGAAAGCCCTCATAGAACAACTCCAGAGCTCCGCATCTACCATAAGATCCAGGATGTCAGTTTCCCACACTCCTGAGAGAGGAGTCACCCCCACCCCCTGATGGAGGCTTCTAATTGCACACACCCTGATGGTGTAGCACAGGGCAGTTGATCACAGATTCATTTCTGCTCCATAGTGGTGATTTTTGTCTATGCATTTATATTACTTCTGCTTTTGGTCCTTTTGATCACCCATCTATCCTGGAGGTGGGAGCTTTTCCTCCCTACATTACCTAAGAGGAGGCAGCAATCATGGCCATATAGCCAAGCTATAAGCATACCCCAGAATTTTCCACCACTGAGACAAGACCCAACAACACCTCCTAAACATTACAGGCGATAAGGGAAGCCTATCTCCTGATCATATTCACCAGGAGACACTCAGTAATCAAACAACCAATGTTTAAGCATTCACTTTAAACTTAAAAAAAATAATAATAACAAAAATAATCATGACGAACAAGAAGCAACAAACCTTATCAAAACATGTCCAAAAACAGAAGAGAATAGCTGATGCAAATGAGCTGGAGATAGACAAAGGCTTTATAGAGGAGGAAGGGTGGGTTCTGGATATGCCTGAGAGGGAATTCAGAAGAATGATACGGAAACAAATTCAAATGCTCCTAAAAGGGGTGGAGGAAAACAAGGAAGAAGTAAGGAAAGTACTACAGGAGCAATCAAATAAGATTGATACAGCATTGGAAACAATTCAAAACCTGCAAAAAGATGTCCAGATGATCAATGATAAGATATCAGAAGTGGACAATAGGCTGAAAGGGGAAAGGAGCAGACTAGCAGCGATGGAAGCCAGAACTAGTGAACTGGAAAACAAATCTCTCAATACTGCTAAGATAGAAGAACAAGCAGCTAAAAGGATAAAACAATCTGAAGAGAGTCTAAGATTCATGCTGGATAATATGAAGAGGAATAATGTAAGAATTATTGGCATTCTGGAACAAGAAGAATCAGAGAAGTCCACAGAGGAGATAGTTGAAAAGCTTCTAGAAGAAATTTTCCCTTACATCTTGAAAGATGAGAAGATAAACATTCAAGAAGCCCAACGTACCCCAGGGAGGATAGACCCCCCAAAAGAAAGTCTTCAAGACATATAATAGTCAAGCTCTCCAAAATCAAAGACAAAGAAAGAATACTAAAATCAGCCAGGGAGAAGAGAAATTAGATTAAACTCTGACTATTCAGAAAAAAACATGCAGGCAAAAAGGCAATGGGGAGACATATATACAAAGCCCTGCAAGAAAAAAAAAACTGTCCACTAAGAATCATCTATCCAGTAAAACTATTGATCAAATATGATCGTGCAATCAAAACATTCCAGGACAAACAGAATCTGAGAGATTTTATCAAAACCAACCCAGCACTTCAAAACATCCTAAAGGGAGTTCTGTGGACTGAAACCCAACAAGAACAGACAACAAACAGATTGACAGGCATGGCAACGCCACCTGGACCTCAGTCAACAGATAGCAGAGTCCAGAACAGAACCAGACACAACAACAAACTCAAAGGAGCTGGGAGATCAACTGAAGACCAACAATATATCAATGCCAAACAAGGGACAAACGTAGGAAAAGAGACCCCGGTGGTGAGGATGCCAGCTAAATTACAGGTTACAATGGAGTATCTTAAATGCAGAGAAAAGTAAGTAGACTACAAGGTAACCCCAAAGAAAGCTAATACTTCACAACATATCATAAAAATGAATTCCCAACCAGAACAAGCGAGTACGGAAACTAAGAAGAAACTGACAAGAAATAGCACAAAAACCACAAACCCAACACAAGAAGGAATGCAGAACAAAAGAATGAACAGCACCACCAAAAAAGTAGCATAATGACAGCAATCAATTCATACCTATCAATAATTACATAGAATGTCAATGGATTGAATGCACTAGTGAAGAGCCAAAGAGTGGCAGAATGGATAAGAAAACAAAACGAAGACCCATCACTATGTAACCTGCAAGAGACACACCTTACACACAAAGACAAAAACAGACTGAAAGTTAAAGGATGGAAAAAATTTACCAAGCTAACGGTAACAATAAACCAGCAGGAGTGGCAATACTAATCTCTGACAAAGTAAACATTAAGATAAAAACCATCGTAAGAGACAAAGACGAACACTATCTTATGATCAAAGGGTCAATTGAGCAAGACGACATAACCTTAATAAATATATATGCTCCCAATGAAAGAGCACCCAGATACATGAAGCAAACCTTACTGGAATTGAAGAAAAAAATAGAAAAATCTACAGTTATAGTGGGAGATTTTAATACACCACTCTCGAAAAGGGACAGAACAACCAGAAAGAAACTCAACAAAGCTACAAAGGAAGTAAACAATACAATCAACCAACTTGACCTCATAGATGTATACAGAGCATTCTATCCAACAACAGCACAATACACATTCTTCTCCAGTGCGCATAGAACATTTTCCAGAATTGACCATGTGTTAGGTCACAAAGCAAGCCTCCATAAGTTTACAAACAACAAAATTCTACAGAACATCTTCTCAGACCACAATGCTATAAAACTAGAAATCAACAAACAATAAGACCAAAACAACAAAATAGAATACATGGAAACCGAACAACACCCTTCTGAAAAGCGATTAGG